TGTACATATATATATTATTATACATATAGATATATTTATATACATATTTATAATTATAAATAGATCAAAAGCATCTTATCATAGCCTTCTGAAAATTAGACAATCTCACTTCTCATGCTCTACCCATTTGATTTTTTTGCCGGCGTTTTGAACCATCTGGCATTATTGGCAGACACGCGTACTATTTATATCGACCATACTTAGAATACATCGGTACTTCAAAGGACGAAGATACCTATCCAGGAACAATATATATCTACGTTTGTACTTGAAAGACGAAGATACTATCTCCAGTACCGATCTTATTCTCTAGAGCGGCTATATACATACAATACGCGTTGCTGAACACATTCTATTTACGAATTGCACACAAGAAGCTACTATTTATAGGTTTGCCTGAACTACACACTAACAATGCGCATGGACCTATACGTCTGGGAGGGTGATGGCTGCATGTCATCGTGCGATCCCGACTGTCTTATTGCACTCGCCTATATACAAGCCACTCATGCACCTGTACAGGTTAATACGTGCACTAATCCACGAACATCTCCCAGTGGCGTATTACCCTATTTGGAAGTAAGTGACAAAGAGCTAGTGGTTACTAAGTGTTTGAAGGATGTGAGCGGTATCATTAGGTATCTGAGGGAGAATGGATACGACTTGGACGAGCATTTCACCCGGAGACAATGTGCTAGGGCTACAGCATTAAATAGCTATATCCAAACACACATCTCACCGTTTGTCATCTACAATATATACGGTGAAAATGCACAGGTGAGCGATACAGTGTATTGTGTTGTCAAGCTTATATTCGAAAATTGCCTATTAATTTAAGCCGAAGGTTTGCATAGAAATCTATCTAGATAGCAACTAGGTGTATAGAGTTGATTTGTTAGTAGATTCGTAATATACCACTTTTCCGTATGTAATTGGATAAATATACATATATTGATTGTGTGTGTGTGTGTGTGTGTGCGTGTGTGTGTGTGTGGGTGTGTGTATAACACGTATGTATGTATGCAAATATATATGTACGTTTGAAAGTAAATATATATATATATATGTGTGTGTGTGTGTGTG